AGCTTATGCACACTGGATTCTCAGCTGTCTTTATTACATAAGCTCATTTTGGTTTTGCTCTTTACATTTTTGAGGCTTGTTACCTGGCTGTTAATGATCTCATTGTTGCCATGGGAGATCATTAAAGCAGCCATCTGCTAGTCTTCCCTTATGGTGTGATATAATTCTCCAGATGGCACCAGCATTCATGCCCACCTCCCGTGGGACGTGACTCTATGTCTGATTTGATGGGTGACATATGATTTGGGGCAAATTTGCAGGTCTCTTGTGTCTACTTTAAATCCAGTAGAACCCAGCCACACACACTAACACACACATTTTACAGCTTGTCAGTTACGGATTTTGCTTCCTCATTACTGTCTAGTCATATGAACACAGAGCTGATCGCTTGTGCCTTTATTTCTTCAAAGCTGTAGCTTGAAAAGGAAAAGTCAAAGGAGACCGGTTTGGCTGATCGTGTCTCTTTGATCATTTCATCCTGTTGCTTTTATCTAATCATACCAGGTTGAAGTTCCAGTTACATCTGCCTCCTTTTATTACAAATACAGGTGTGCATGTGGCTCTCGCCCCAAGCTACACTTTATTTTAAGATTCTGACATCCAATAATGAGGAGAAAGGAGCAGAAACGGGTCAAAAAAAGCTGTCCTTTAGCTGAAACTCTAACCAGTGACTGGTCTTTTGTTAGAGGCTGAACAGGCTCTCCCGGGGCACCAGTTCATTACTAGAGACTAAAATTTCAGGTCCTCTTCTTGAAAGAAACTTTGCCAGCAGCCATCTTAAGTAACACGTGGAAAGGGAAAAGAAATCTAGCTGATCAGGGCAGGTGAGACTGTGAGTAATTCCTGTTGGTTTAGAGAAAAATGCATCCAGATTTTATTCCTACCAAATATCTCTTGGTTTGAAGCTTTTAAAAGGAGAAATGAGTACAGAGAAGATAATGGAGGATGTGGTTCTCCCACCTACAGCTGCTGCCTCTCTGCTTGTGTTATATGAAAGCAGAGGCTTTTGATGATGCTGGCAGGGTTCCTTAAGTGTTGGCTAAAAATAAAATATCGCTTTTTTTCTCAACTCACCATTCTAGATTAAAAACAATTGAATTAAAGGGGATAGGGAGAATGTTCTGACTCGTAGGATGGATCGGATGAAGACCACACATGTGGTCATGTGCATGTTTACGTCCAAATGTACAAGTTAGATTGTGACCCTGGGTGTCAGCTAGCTGGTGAGGTATTTATAGCAGCAGTGGCCCAGATCACCTTCCTCTGACTTCCTGTGTTCTTCTCTGTCTTGACCTACTCATTTTGTCTGCTGCAACACAAACCGCCACACTGCCCATTCTCAAGCTGAGGCTTTGACTGGATTTTTTCCAGTTAGTGGCGGCCGGCTGGTAATGGTTTTTTTGGAACGTCGACTCGGGGAAACAACTTTCTAACTTTTGAACTGAATAAAGGTGGAAAAAGTAAGAATTTTACATTGAAATAATCACAAAAGTCTAATGTCTCAGTCCTGTTGGAAGGAAGGTTACATTGAAACTGATCTTTTTTTCTCAGAGTTTAGGCTGAGATTTAACTGGTTTAAGGGTACCCATTACAGACCCAAATACCCAACCAATATCTTGCAAATACTGACAGCAAGAGTTATATGGTGCATTTATAATATAAAATAAATAAACATCAATGTTTTGGTGACATTCACAGAATGTTGCATAAGTCCTCTCCAGCAGTGCTGTAGGAATGTGGCAGCGTGGCGCTCTGACAGATGAATTAATATTTATCGGCATGAGGAACTTATTTCTATTTCTAACTTATTTGTCAACCTTTCATTTAGAGGTCCCATCAGTTAATGTAATTATTGTTCCACAGGCACACCAATCTCAACCCAGTCTCACAGCAGAGTAGGGCTGCCTCAAACTACTTTTTTATTAGTTGACTAGTCGCCATTTTGGTGACAAATAGTCGCGACTAATCATGTCATTCATAAAAGTATAGCTTATTGCACCAGGAGGCTCTAATATAGCCATCATTAGCTTCTAGTTCTATGTGTGATCAGTTACGTGCCATCTAATAATAAAGACAAGATAATAGCTTATCAAACTGCTTTTAATGAATTTCGTTGCAACATGTTAATACAAATGCTACAATGTCAAACCGATCAGATGTATGCAACTAAAATACAAAAGATACGCCTCTGTAGCACGGCTGGTCCACACGTCAGGGTCAGGGAACCAGTCACAGCTCTGAGGGCCTGCTTTACCTTAAAGATAAAATATATTATTTAGTTCATTTGTCAATATATTATTAATTCATAAAGCAGGCTGATTAACACAGAAAATAATGTATTATGCTTTAACTTATTAGGTTATTAATTGCTCAGTCAGCAATTATCATAAAATGCATAAAATTCAAATTTTTATTTGTATCCAGCTTTTCCAACTAGAAAGATAAAATATTGCAATCAAAATAAACTATTTTTATTGAACACATTTTGCATATAATCTGTGCAGTTAACCATCTTTATGATTTAACATCCAACGTTATTGCGTTGGTTATCTCGACCCACCGCTTGCTTTTTTTTAAAAATACAGTCCCTTTAGCGAACGCGTCTTTAATGGACGTCTGACTCTGACTGCTACTAGCCGTTTTAGCCTTGGAGGTGGAGGGTGCAGATCAAAGCTCGAGACATTCTTGGCATTCCAAGACGTACGTACGTACGTACACACACACACACACAGATACACGTGCATGCTCGCGCACATACGTACGTACACAGTTACACACCTTTTTAAAGGTCGTCTCATATTTCCTTTCCATCAATGTGGTGAAATGTGATCGGCCTGGTAGATACTTCTCATAGTATTCTTGGTTGAACATCTCGATCATATCTTTAAAACCTTGATGGCCAACCATGGAAAGGAGTCTCATGTCCGTTACCAGCATGTTCAAAATGGCCTCGGTCAGGGCATTGGCTTGTTGCGGTGCGCACTTGGTTGGCCTTGTGAGAAACTCGTCCATTGTAGAAGACCGCTTTCTTTTAGCGCTGTAACGTAGAAGGTAGGGATGTGTATTGGTGAAATTCTGGCGATACGATACTTATCACGATACAGGGGAGACGATACGATATATCACAATATATTGCGATACATTCAGTCGGACGATATTAGCGATTTTTTTTGACTAAAATTATTGTAGAAAATTCAATAAACGGTCCAAACTGATAATTAACATGATTAACATGAGGTATCTGAACCATAATAGAAGGATTTACATTTCAATGGTGGAAACAAACTCCATTGCACACTACTGCTGACTAGCGGACAGTATTTGATTTGCACCAAAAGAAAAGAAAATTCACAAATGTTTGCACGTAAATTCTTCCAAAAAATCGATACACAGCTTTTGAACATCGACGTAATATCGCAGGAAAAAATATCGCGATATATTGCTATATCGATATTTTCTTACATTACTAGTAGCAGGATAAAAAAATCATTAGTGTTTGTAACATTAGAGCTAACACGTGACATATACATACGTGTTTAACGTATAATCACCATCACTGCTGTTGTTGCTACACAAATGATGCTAGCAGCTAAAAGGTACACTTACAGAAGCCACTCTTCGTTCTTCGCCGTCATGTGCTTCCTTTTAAGATCCTCGTGCATCGCCGATGTAGTCCCCTTGAAACAAGGATTTCACCGTATAGAGTTTGCACTCTACTTGCTTCTCAGTTGTTTTCATAAAATGCTCCCAAACCTTTGAGCTCCGTTGACGATTTGCCATGATGTGTTGTTTCTCTGGTGATTCTGCGTGAACGCTGAGCTGGAGTGGCACTACAGCGCCTGTGCCTCCACTTAAATAAGCAGTGGGGCAGGAAGCCAACGTGCCGAACGTGCAGCAGCAGGCGAGATTTTAAAAATGCTCACACAATAAACAACGCGTCGACTATTAAATTAGTCGTCAACTTTTTTTTTTTGTCGACGTCGTCTTTAAGCGTCCACTAGTCGTGGCAGCCCTAAATTAGAGGCAAGCTGTGTGTGTGTGTGTGTGTGTGTGTGTGTGTGTGTGTTTAGCATGCCGCACGCACATTTTGCCGTTTTTAGCAGCTCAGGAGCCTGTCAGTATGTTGTGTGTTACTCACTCTGGCTAATCCAAGAGGAAGCCGGCTCTACATCCTACTGTCCGGAGCGCAGGCTGTTTTGCTAACCTGCAGGGCATGTCGACGACAGTAAGTTATTCAGAAAGTAGCAACGGGTTATCAGAGATGGTTCTAGGTTGATCGCTAGGTACTTATAGGATTTAAAAAGTCAAGAATGGGGTCTGAAAAGCTGTCAGAAATGGCAACAAAGTCGCTAAGTTGGCAACAATGTGGGAGGAGCGCTTGATTTGCAACTTGGAGCAGCGCAAAAGGGAGGAGCAAATAATCAGCTTGTTTTGTTTTTATAATGGTTGAAAACTGAGCAGCCCTACGTTGAGCTAATAATGTTAACAGTGAATTTAAAACAAATGGTTCACGATAAATATTACTCAGGCTACTTTTTCAATTACCAACAACTCGATATTACAGTTGAACATATTCAACTGGTCCTCTAAAGTCTTTTGGTGTGGATCTGTAACTGGCTAGAGTTGCTCAGAGCTGACTTGTTTGTTTTGATATGTGGATTGCAGTACCCACATTTCACCACAAGATGTCGGTCTTACTTGGTGCATCTTTAATTTCTGGGTCTAAAATGTTTAGTTTAGCAGTCACTAATGATTTTGGAACAAAACAATGGGGGAAAAAATAGTTATTGTACTACATTAAATCAAAAGGTGACAGGGAAAACCAAAGTTACTTTCCTGGTGGTGTGTGTCACAACAGTCACACCCATCTAGTGTTTAGCAGGTGTCATGGCTTGCCTAAAAGGGACAAACTGTTCCTGTCAACACCGCTGCTGTGGTAAGTTTATTGTTGTGAACACATCACCGAGGTGGTTTGTCACCAGTTTGGTTTAATTCTTCAGGGAGGTTTCGGAGCCCAGCACAGCAGCTGTTACAGAGGTGGAACCAGACTCGGAGAGCTCCATGGCCCAGCAGCCAGCATCTGGGTCAGAGCCGGAGAGCAGCGAGAGCCGTCCAGAGGAGGTAAGGTCACTGAGAGGGTGTACGTCCCTGGGTCTTGACTCTGTCTCCCACTAACCTGCATCCTCAGCATGTCCAAGTAGCAGTGGTAGTCACTCAAATCCAACACTACTCCTAAAGAGTTAGGAAACAAAAACCCCTAAGACACTTTTTAGGGCTGCACAATGTTAGGAGAACCTGCGATGCACCTTAATGCCGGGGACACACCGACCGCCAAAGCGCAGCGAAAAGGAGACCGCCTTCATTCGGCACCCTTTTTATCCTGTACTATAGACCACATGGGCCGCCGCGCGCCGGCGCTCCAGCCCGCGCCGTGCAGCGATCGTTTTGGCGTCTGCTCTATTTTTTCGTGAGCCGCAGGTGAATCGCGTCAATTCTGGCAGGAAGTCAAACCTAGACATAAGAGGCAGGCCGGTAAATTTAACAAAATAAAGCATTTCAAAATACAATTCCGCGATAGTCAAATGTGTTCGTAAACAGACATTGCATAAAAACCACACACACACACAGAGCAAACGTGTGTGTGTGTGTGTGACCACGTGAAGAGGGTGTGTTTTTGAGTGTCTTTCAACCGGAGCAAACAGGACAGAGAGGCAGAAAGTCGTAGGCCAGCTTTTAACAACTGGTTCACACCATAGGTTCACACACACGCGTACAAACACACACACACACACAGCGAGGGGGAGGGGGGTGTCGAACAAACGAGCAGAGAAAAGGCAAAGAGGAAATGGAGGACACCAAGTGGTTAAAAGAAAAACTACGAGGTGCGCCTCGGCCGGAGCGGAGAAACAAGCGTCTGATCCAAACTGAGAAGCAGCGGCCGAATTTCGTGAGCGCTTCGCCACCCGGCACTTCGGCGGCTGGTGTGTCGCCGGCTTAATGGTGATTAATGTTGTGATGGCAGAACTGGCAATAAAGAAAGAAATACTGTCATCTGCAATGTTTGTCTTTTACCTCTGTATGGATACTTCAGCCGCACCACTGCATCTTCTATCATTAGTGTTATTACAGTAACAAAATGAAATCATGCAAGCGGAGGCTAGCCTTCTGGAGCCCTGTATAGAGATCTTTATGGTTGCGTTGGAGGTGAATACGGAGATTTGTTGTTGACAAAATGCTTTTTGTGTAGCAAATATTTGAGCTGACCATTCATAGCAATTTTTCTCTACTTTGCGATGTGCCTATTGCGCATGCTGATATCACAATGATGATACATTTGCGACGCATTGTGCAGCCCTAACAGCTTTTTAGATGATGTTCATTTTAAACCGTTTTTTGCATCATTTATTTTTACGTAATTGAGACTATGGGCTGATTCTTGTAATGGGAGTTTAATGAGCTGAGTTGGAACTGAGTGACGGGGTTTCTGGGAATGAACTGGTCTCTCCCATCTGCTTCTTTTAATGCAATTTAAATCTCATAACAAGCTCTTTGATGTAGCTCATCTTGCACACACACACCCACACAACCACACACACACACATACACACACACTTGTTGTCTGGGCTGTGCAGAGGGTTTATTTATGTTGTTGGAATGAAAGTAGAGCCAGTGATAATGTGTTAAACTGGACATCCATTCTGCAGAGTGCATGCTTACATCTGTGTGTGTGTGTGTGTGTGTGTGTGTGTGTGTGTGTGTGTGTGTGTGTGTGTGTGTGTGTGTGTGTGTGTGTGTGTGTGTGTGTACAGGTGCATCAGTGCTTGTATCTCCTTTATTTTAGTGTTTTGTCTTTGCTTTCTTGTTATTTACCCTTCCTGCAGCACTCTCTCTCTTTTCTATTTGTCTTCTTTCTGTCCATTTTTTTGCCTCTTGTATCCCATCATGAACGCTTCTCTCTCACTATATATTTATGGTGTGATTGTTGTTTAAAACCCCATTGATTGCTTTGTTATGAAGGTGCCCATGCCTCTTCCATTGCCCCTATTGGTACCTGCTGCATACTACTACCAACACCACCACCAACACCTCTTCCACTCCTACTCCTTCTACAACTCCCGCCCCGCTCAGACAAAGTGCGTCGCTGGTACCTGAGTTAGGCCCAGAGTCTGCAGCCCCGCGGCGCTGAGTAAAAGCCGAGCCCGAAGCCTCCAGGGGCTCCTGTTTTTGTCCTCCATTGACACGCTGAGCCAGCAGGAACTGGATGCCTGCATCAGGGCTTTGCCGACAGCAGCAGCCATGGTAACTGCAGCAGTTCACAGTTGTCATGACAACCCGGCCACAGGGGTTGGACCGTGCTGCACCACGTGGCTCCTCCTCTCTCTACCTCTCCTAGCCACCATCTTGAGGAGATTAAAAAGTGTCTTCTTCTGAAAACTAGTCAGTCACTCAGCAGAGAGTTGAACAGCCTTCCACACCTTTTTGGATTTAATCCCACGCTGCCCTCTACCTGTGCAGTGGAGTATTGACTTTGGACTGAGACCTGCTGCTGCACCTCACACCTCGAGGATTAATTCCACCGTTTGGGGGGTTTTAACCTCTAGAAAACGCCACAGCTTGTTTCCTAAAACTGATGGACAATTTTTATGAACTTTTTTTTTCTTCCTGAGTTTGTAAGGCTGACTATCACTCTTCCCTAAGTTGGCTGGCTGTTTTTAAAGGACTCGCACCTGTAAAGGTGTTGTCATGAATGAGACTTTCCTGATTCCATCTCCAGTTTCAGTCTGCATAGAAAAAGATTTTTACACTCCAACTGTGACATCGAACATCGTTTGACCCCAAAGCCTCAGACACTCTACAGGCTCAAAGGCAACGCTGCAAACCCAACAAACTGCCTCTCGTTTGCTCCTGGCAGCTTCTGTTTCCATGGCGACACCAGTTTGGACCTACATCCTGTAATCATTTCCTGAGTCCAGAGTCATCCAACACTACAAGTTGTGACTTTACAAAGACTGTAACTGAATTTTTCATCACCGAGAGACTGAAATAGAAGAAGTTTGATAAAGAAAAAATAAGTTTTCCAACGTGGAGACGTCAGAGATGGCCAGCTGGTCAGATGCTGTTGTGGAGAGCATAGGCAAGTGTAAACAACAAGTGTGTGTGTCGTCAAGCTTCAGACGTTGTCTTCTCTTCACTCAGCAGAGGTACAACACACATCATCAGAGACTCGAGCGCACCCCTGTACCTCCCATCCATCAGAAACCTCTGCTTCCCAAAGATTGAGACACGACCAAAGAAAAGTCCTCCTCAGACCCGATCGAGACAAAAAGTCCCGTCCTCAATCCGAGCCCCGCCCTCACTCCTCCGACTCCTCTGATTGGATCCTTGTTGCCTAGATACAGTACACACTGTCGTGCGGGTGGGCCATAGCTGAGTAAGGAATCAGGTCTTAAATGGTACCAGGAAATGACTTGTCATTATTCCTCTACTTATTAAAAAAAAAAGCAATTATTAGAATATTTTTTAAGAGAAGGAAATGTTTAATTTAGTTTTGACATGACTGACTAAAGCAGCTTAGACTTGTTTATATATTTAATCACATATTGTGGATATAGTGATTTTTCTTTAGTGTAAACAATCTGAATGAGTTTATATCCCGACTGACCGCCTTTAACATTCAGTTTTCCACCTTTGTCCAACAGTCGTCCCTTTTGATCTCTTTGTGCTTAGTCTACTTTTATTAGTCCGATGGCGGTAAACGCCGTCTTTCTCTAAAACTGTTAGAATGCAAACACATCCAGGTTTGCCGCTGACACACTAGTGTAGTTGGCTTTAGATCCAGCCGAAGCAGATGTGTCGGAGCCTCTTGAGCAGAGGTGGAGGACTAGAATGTGTTGAGTCTGCATCGAGTGGTTCAGACAACCGGTCTCCCGGCCCCCCCTCCACGTTTTGCCGTCTCACCTCCTCCTGTGTGTGCTGCCTGTTTGGGTCTGGACTCCTGGTTCTCACCTGGCCCCGCACCCCTGGGGTTTCTGTATGTTCTTTCTGTCTCCCTCTGTTTCCAGAGCACCACTCCTAAGGCTTTTGCCGCTCGCAAGATCTCTTTAACCAGTAAGTACCAAACTTTTTATCGTCTCCTGGAGCTCCAGGAAGATTTAAAAAAAAAGAACCAAAAGATGCGTCTGGGGTTTATTTTTAGAGGTTTTACGTTTGGCACCCATCCTGTAGCTTGCCCATTAAACTTAAGTTGTTGCTGATTGACTTTTTTATGGTTTGGAAGAGGGGAAATAATTAAATTCAGCACTTGGCTTGTGTGTCATTGATCTGGGACAGGGTCCGAAATAAAATTTTTTACTCACCGGCCAAGTTGGCTGGTAGATGATGAAAATCTACCGGCCAAGCATATTTTTTTACCAGCCAAAATTCTAAATGATTTAGATCTACCTAAAGCATGTAATTCTATATTATGTTGATTCCAAACAGAGTGACAAAATAATTAAAACATCAATTAATAAGAAAAACAACTCTTTTGTCACTTTTACTATTTATTTATTTATTTTTAGAGATGTTTTTATGAACTCTTTCATTGAAATCTAGTCAGACTCCTTGTTTTCTCTGTCCATGAAGTCTGGCCTCCTGCTTCTGACACCGTCTTTGTGCCAAAGCATTACAGCCTCATTTGGGTCACAGTCCTTGATCTCTGGAGAACACAGCTGCACCATGAGAATATCTGAAAGTGTGTCAGGGCTAGGGTTGTCACGGTAACCGGTGTAGCAGTAAACCCCGGTAAAAAAGTTGACAATAAATAATAACAGTCTTGTTTAAAATATATATATATATATATATTATCTCGGTGGATTACCGTGGCTGCGGTGTAGGCGTGGTGACCCTTACCAGCCACCGTATCATCTGCTGGAAGTTGCCGGCGGCACATGCACACTTTGTTGTTTACGACCAAAACTTTCTTTCAGCTAAAGCTGAAATAATGGCAGGAGGAGACGACAGCACTCAGGACATTTATTATCCCTCAAAGAGGACAAAGTCGGAAGTATGGGCATTTTTTGGATATTTGAAGAATGCCGAGGGACAGTTGTCTGTGAAAGGCAGCAACGCTACGTGGCCATCATAATGTAGCCAGTGTCTCACGACTCCGCCGTCTCCAGTTCGCCACTTTTCACAAAATCTTCTGGTTGCCACTGGTCCTGGTGGTTTTTCTTCCAGTTCGACGAGTTTTCTTTTGGAAGGCTGGCTGACTCCAGTTTAAAACCGCCACATTTCACCGCTAGTTTTAACACGAAGCTAACGGCTAACTCGATAAACTGATTGAATGAGATAGGTGGAAATGACGTTGTATGCGGCGTTCACGTTTCACGTACGTTTGTGTACGTTGCATGCAGGCGGGAGGAGTATCAGACATCCGTGTTAGATGACTGATAAACATAACTAATTTGGTGCAAACATTTACTCGCCAGGTGGCAGGTAGAGCTCAAAAATTTACTCGCCAAATGGAGCAATTTACTCGCATTTGGCGAGTGGCGAGTGTTAATTTCGGACCCTGATCTGGGAACTTTGACCCTTAGGGAGGTAAGCTGATCTTTGCTTCTCTTTCAAATGAGATCAGACATTTAAACATGCATGTGTGAGGTCTTCAGACCAGGAAATATGAATGTGTTACTATAAAGAAGGTAGAATTTCTTTATTGTTTCGAAACATTAGCATGCTGTTATTAATGGAATAGCATAAAAACGTCTCACAAAGCAAGTACTCTTGTCTTTGTTATGAAGGAAAGTTTATTTACGTAACACCTATCACTGGAAAAAAAATCACGTAGAAATTCGACATGATTAAAAGACAAAAAACAAAAGAATGAAAGGTCATTTAGGAGCCTTGAAAACAATAAATCGCCAAACCAGTGAAAAAAAAAGATTTTCACAAAAGCGATTTAGAAGTAACGAGGTCTTTGGCTGCTTTTTAAAGGTGTCCAGACTGTCGATAACAGCAGAACTGTTGGAAAGTCATTCTAAAGTCGAGGCCATGGACGTAATTTTGGGGTGGGGGGTGACCCCCCACACACACACGCACACACACACTTTTTCCAAAGACAAGTTTTGACCCCTGCACTTTTTGCCATCCCAAAACAATATTACGCTATGTTAAATTGACACTGGTTGAGCTCTAGGACCAAGCGGAAAACAACCGTTTGTGTTGAAGCCTGCTTCCCATTAGAACAGGGGTGTCAAACTCATTTTAGCTCAGGGGCCACATTGAGGGAAATCTAGTCCCACGTGGGCCGGACCGGTAAATTAAAAAAACCCTTCAGATTGTTTTCTTTGTTTTAATACAATCAATATAAAACAAGGCTGGAGCCTGAGGACAGTGTATCCAAAATAGTACAAGTACAACACCTGAAGTGTACTTGAAAATTAAAAAAAAAAAATAAATAAATAAATAAACAAAAAATAATTCCTTAGTGATTCAAAGAGCTTACAGATCACATGGCTAGATCAGTTTCATGCAGCACTTAAAGTATATTTGACTCATTTTACTTTACATCTTTTAGCTTTCACCAGAACATCAATATCAGAAGTCACATCCTGAGTGGCGGCCAACTTCAAGATGTGATTCAAGTTCTTGTGTGAGCCTTGAGCGCAGCTTTGTTTTATTTATACTCATTACAGAGAAAACTTGCTCACAAAGATAAGTTTATTTTCACTCTACATTGTAAAGTATGAAAATAAAGTTTTCACAACCATCTCGCAGGCCGGATTTAACCCGCTTGCGGGCCGCATCCGGCCCGAGGGCCGCATGTTTGACACCCCTGTATTAGAACATACTGTAAAGATACCACCCCCCCCAACCCACCCCCCGTGTTCCCCCCACTTCTAAAGTGAAAGTTACGTCCATGGTCGAGGCGCATCGTTGTGCTATTAGTGGCAATTGTTTTAAACAAAATTCATGGAATTGTTGTTGGTTCTTCCCCACTCTCAGTAACATAAATTATCCCCAAGTACGTTTTAAATGGCTTAAATTTAAACAGTCAAGTTAAAAATGGTCTAAAAATCACTGAAAAGTCAAGATTTCTGAAGGTTTCTAAAATGAAACATTATTTTCCTCCAGCTTTTAATTAGAGTGGAAGTCTGAGGAACAGTCATGAGCAGCAGAATCGATCCGTTTGGTGGATTTAGAGTACAAATGTGATGTGCATGGTTACTGCACACCTTCACTTTAAGCCTGATTTATACGTCTGTGTCGATGCGGAGATGCGCAACGCCGTTATGCGTCTGAGCAAGAGCTCTCCGACGGGCTCGCAGGGGGAAGACGGAGACGGGTCCCAATGTTTAACCGTCCGTTATAAGTGACTGAGACAACAAGCTTGTGATTGGTCAGGGTGCCGCTTCCTGTAAATTCATCAACAGCACCGCCTTCGCCCCCTCAAACAGTAAAAAGATATTTAGGGGCAGACACGGAACAGATTAAAGAACGCATCGTGGAAAAAGTCTGAAAATAAGGACATTTGTTCACCCGTGACCGAAGGAGTACAAAAATATGCAGAAAGCGTTTTATTTGTGGATGGAAAAGGCGAGAAATGTGAGTTTAGAGGTGCCGATCATATGAAGAGGTGGATGAGGTTCAAATTTGTTCTTTGAAATGTATTAAAACAATGTAAACACAACAGTAAATACTCTGTTGTGGACCGGATGTGCGACTAACGTGGCAGGATACCTCAGAAAAGAGCTACGCCCTCTGTTGTTCTGGCGGGGAATTGCCTTGCATCGATCGCCAGCCGATGACGTCTGGGAGCAAAACGTGTGTCAGTGCGTGTGCGTGTCTCCCTCGTGGAGCTGATGGAGAAGGATAAATCAGACTTTAGTTGTGCAGACCTGAGCAGTAAAACATCAGTGCAGCGTTCTGGCTGTGCAGCTGGAACCCACCAGAGCACACTATTCCCCTTTAGTGTCATTTTTAGTGACTGAAGTAGCAACCTGTTTCCTTGATCGTGTTGGTGTAAATAAATTCAGAAGGCTTAGTAAATGGTTCTGGTCCTAAGCCATCAGCTGTCGCTAATATTTGCAGAGCTATTTGGGTCAGAGCAGGTATTTTTGCTGCCTTGCTGTGGGACCTGCAAGAACTTGTCTGTTCATCTCTATTCACTGCAGAATAAAACCTTCCTTCTCCTTGATGGTGAGCTGTATAATTTTCTTGAACCCACAGGCAGCAAAGCATCTCCAGCCTCAACAGATGGAGCTGCAGCAGACGCCGAGGTGGGAAACGCAGGTGGGAGGAAGCGGCGGTGGGGCTCCAGCACGGCAGTCACCGTTAAGAAACCATCGATAAGCATCACCACCGAGTCCCTGAAGGTACGCCCCTCCCCGAGCATGAGCAGAAATGCAAATAATAAGCAATCTGCTAGCTTTTGTTATACTTTTAAAAGCTAACAGAGTTATTTTCTGACTTGTTTTTCCCTTGGTGGTTCGTCTCTGCACTTCAGTCTTTGATACCAGACATCAAAGTGAAGCAGGAGATGGTTGTGGACCTTCACCCCGAGGAGCTGCAGTTGTCTGGAGACGAGGAGAGCCTGGACGCCAGCCTGAGCGACCCAGATAAAGGCCTCAAGATCCGGCGCACCGTCACACAGGTGAGAGCAGCATAGCACTGCTGTTTCTCCGTGTAGGTGATGCGAGTTTGTGTTAGTACTTCATAGCGATGGGTACTGAATTCGGTACTTTTTAAGGTACCGACCGAATTCCACAGTACCGACTGAGCACCGATTCACATAATTTGAAACGATGTCTTGTTTCGGTACCCGTCCTTCATAACGAGAACTTGCCTAGACAGCTGCGCATGTGCAAGAGCGTTATGTCGTCGGTCGCTGCGAGCCAGTTGTAAACAGAGCAGCATGGGTAGAAAGAACGCACGCTAAAGCTTGGGTCCACTTCACTAAATGTGATGGGTAACTGGGTGATGATGAAACCAGCGACAACGATCTAAGTGTGAGACATCCTCATCTTAATCTGCTCCGGCAGGTAAATAAAATGTTTAAGATAACGTTAGTTTGATATGTTAGCTTCTGTTTCGCTAATGGTGCGTTCGCTTTCTCCTCGGAATTCCGAATCTCCGACTAGAAGAACATGAACGCGCTCTAAAGTTTGGCTTCACTTTACTAAGTGCGACGGGTGATTGGGTGAAGATGAAACCAGTGACAACGATTTAAGTGTGAGGCATCATCGTTTTAATCTGCTCCAGCAGCAAAATAAACTGTTTAAGATAACGTTAGCTTGATATGTTAGTTTCCATTGCCACCATTGTTATCAGCTAATGGTGCGTTTGCTTTCTCCTCGGAAATTCTAACTTCCCAGTAGGAAAAAATCAAATGAAAAAAGACGGCAAAAGGAATGAAGATACTCAGTAAATTTAGTTCACAGTAAAGATGTTTGCTTAAGTTTAATTATCAGCTTATAAAACTACAAGGACGATGTTAAAATACAAACAGTTGAATGTTCTTTATCGTGATATTTATCAAATATGGTTATAAATTGATAAATCTATGTATTTAATTATAAAAGAGAATTAAAATATTAAACACTCCAAAGTATCGAAAATTGGTACCATTAAGTACCGGTATCGATTCCTAGGTACCGGGAATTAGTACCGAATCGATTCAAATGTCAAAGGTACCTATCCCTAGTGCTTCATAAAACTAGGTGCTTTACTACTAGGGCTGTAGCGAAGCCTCGACGAAGTCGACGGCTCGATTCTAAAAATTTGTCGACGTCAGATCCGGAAGTCGACGCACCGCGCCCACTTGTTGCATCCCCAGGAGTTTGTAAATAGAGGAGGAATCTGCCTGTTTTTCCTCTAGTTCGCCCTCTTCTCCGCCTTCACTAACATCTCCGCCAAATACCGAAGACCCGGAACAACGTCCGTCCACTACTAGATTATTTTCCTGTTTTGCCCGCCTTCGTCTCCCGGCAACGGACAACAACTTCCGGGGTCAGATGCGCTGCTTCGTCTCTATCGCAGATGTAGAACATCACCTGGAGCGCTTCTCCCTTCATTAAGGAGCTTCTTTCAGACATGAGGAGAGCTGTTTTGGTGGTAGCAGTCTCTCCTCCATGCTGGTCTGTTTGCTGCTGGGTGTTTTTGGTTTATTTAAACTTGGTAACTTGAACTTAATGTTGGTAAAGCTACTGTTAGCATCTTCGCTAACAGCTTCTTGCGTTGGGATAAGCCGTTACGTTTTGGTTTAGAGTTAATCTTTTTTGTGGTGTAGATCTCCCTTTTATTACATTTAGAGTGTTGTGGGTTTTTGGTTTAGTGTAAAATATCACCTGAGTTTGGTTTAACCCGTAAGACCACTCGCCTCACGCACATAAGTGACCAAAACAAAGCAGCATGGAGACACTCCATCTTCTACCACCTCTCAGGCAGCAGCCTGCACTCCCAAGTTCTACACGTCACCAGAACATAACCAACCAACACAATAAACGCAGTGTTATACAAAATGGAAGGCCTATAGTGTTTATTCTCTTACAGTAAGAATTTATCAATTTTTTGAGGAATTTATTTGAGATTTTCTGGTTTTTGTTAATTGTGCAATAGAAAAATAATCATTAGATTAATTTTCTAAATAGTCATTAGAATAGTCGACTATTCAATAAAATAATCGTCAGAATAATCGTTTTAAAAATAATCGTTTACCCCCAGCCCTATTTACTACGCATCTCCATTTGTCAGGTTGTTCCCAACGACAGCCAGGAGAACGGCCAGCCAAGTGAAGATGTGGAGAAAATGGAGAAAGAAGACGAAGAGCAGAAGCCCTCTAGAGACAAACGAAAGAGCAGCCTTTCAGACGAAACCTCGGAAACGCAGATGTCCGTGGAGCTCGAAGAGGAGAAAAAAAAAGGTACGTTTATCAAATAAAGAGAATAGATTTTCAGCGCAGCACAACTTTGCGTTGAGAAGTCATTTATCTCAACTCCATTTAGATTTTTTTCTCACTTCCACCTCTCCTCCAGTCACCCCCAGCGACAGCCTGGTGCGTCGCTCTATTAGTCAGCAGAAGTCCGGCGTGTCCATCACAATCGACGACCCCGTTCGCTCAACCAGACAGCCCTCGCCACCCCGAGGAAAGGTTTCCAACATCATCCACGTGACCAACCTGGTGAGTTGCTCTTAACCTCCTGTGCTAATCTCCCAGGTAGAGATCATCTTACAATAAAAGCTTGGTGCCAAACAGATTTGAACTCGTCCCTGTTTGTGTGAAGGAATCAGCGGCGTAATGATGGAAGTATGTTGTGTAGATGCCAGTGGTAACCACATCATCCCCGTAATTACTGTCGGGAATTATCCAGGTGTTATGGCTGCAGTCAGGAGTGAGGTGGATGACTAACCAGACTTTGACAAGATGAGACAGCACACGTTTAATCACCACCACCTACAGACTTCTAGGGTTTGCGTCAGACATGAATGGTGGCTTTAATTGTTTCACGCAGGTGTGAGGCTCTTAGTCTCGGTTTCATTCAGAAAAGGCTGAAGGTAACTAGTGGGATGTGGTTCTGCCTAGTAGAGATGTTTACACCCAAACACGAGAGAGATTAAGCGGAAATCTGACATTTTTACAGCAATTTGCTGTAATCTCCCCAACAGGAACTAGTCTGATTAGATGAAATATAAATAATCTTATTAGAATACCGGTATCTGTGTCGGCTTTTGACTTTTTATCGTGGAAGACGGAAGATTAAACTTGTCAAAATCGCCCACAGGGTCACAATATCAGCTGTCGGCCATTTTTGTTGTTCTTTTGCTGTGAAGTCGTCAGCGCTTCTGTCTTGTTTTATAATCTGGTTTGTGACTTCCTCATGTGTAGGTTCGACCTTTTACCCTGCTCCAGCTCAAAGAGCTGCTCAACCGGACAGGAAGTGTTGTTGAGGAGGGCTTCTGGATCGATAAGATCAAGTCCCACTGCTATGTCACGGTAACGACACGGACGCTTTCACAAGCTCAGAAGTAAACGTGTGTTTGTGCTGCAAATAGTTTAAAATGTTTTCTGTGATCTCACAGTATGCTAGCACGGAGGAGGCCGTCTCCACCAGGACGGCTCTGCATGGAGTCAAATGGCCCGCTAGTAATCCCAAGGTGCTGAGCGTGGACTTCTGCAAACAAGCTGAGGTGATGAACACATCTTGAATGAGTCATGGTGTCTCCTCTGACCCATAAGTTAATAAGCATAATTCATATTTCTTTTACCTCATCAGTTGGATTTTCACAAAGGCATCCTGAAGCCCAAAGTGGAGGAGGACCACGTCGTCCAGCCGACCGTTCCTCCTAACCGGCCGCCCCCTCTGATGCGCGATCGTGACAAGGACCACAACCGAGACAAGGAGCGGGATAGAGACAAGGAGCGGGACAGGGGAGTTCGAGATCTGTTGGCAGAGCGTCAGAGAGAGATGGAGCGCCGGGAAAGGACGAGAGGCGAGCGAGAGTGGGACCGCGATAAAGTCCGGGAATTTGCGAGACTTGGAGAGGACGGGCGCCGATCGAGGTCCAGAGAAAGGGAGAGGAGGAGGAGGGAGAGGGCCAAGAGCAAAGAGAGGAAGACGGAGAAGAAGGGTAAGGCTATTTGATGGAAATGAAAATACAAAAAGGTAATTTTTTTTAGCTTAATTTCAGGGTTAAAAGCAACACTAAACAAGTTTCCCACTCCTCCCTCCTGCTGGTTGAAAGCAGAATTACAACCCTGCCACCGCCTGCTGTAGCTAATGCTAATAACGAGCTAACACTAACACAAGCCAACTGACACTGAAAAAACCTCAGAGTAAAAAAGATCCATAGTGTTGGACAAAAATAATATTACTTACACGTCCAGCAGCAACAAAGCCAGGTCACCATCAGCTAAAGGTCTGAGCCACATGTCCGTGTCCTACACATATTTTTATCTAACATAGGTTTGATCTAAAATGATAACCTACATCTATATATCCATCTAGAACCGCACCGGTACTTCTGGACTCCAGCAGGCGAGTCCCGTTAGCATGACTGCTGCAGCACTAACCGTGTTAGCTCTGGTAAAGAATAAACAAGTAATTTGTGAAAGCTACCACACACACACACACACACACACACACAGATATAATCTAAAAGATGATCCCCATTTTTCAACAATAGATCCTCCTATAGGACCGGTAGAACCTCTGTGTCATCCAGGATTAGAAAACAACGATCCGAGCTAGCGAGTTAGCATCAGGAAGATTTATTCTGGTAAGCAATCAGTTAAATATTTTCCGATGTTATATCAATAAATACACACAGCGGTAAAGCTGGCAACACGTTATTTTACTCATCTGTAGATTACCGAGTTATATTGGGACAACATGAGGGAGCTAATCAGCTGAGAACGTAACTGAAAGCTACCGGTGGAGCACAGACATGAAATATTTAACAAACTTTTACAAACCGTACCGATTTTGGTTCAGAAGACGAACAAAGTCCTCCCCGGTGTCCCAATCGGGCCGCAGGCTTTCTGAGTGAAACGGTCCAAAGCATGTCTGCACCTCCGGTTCTGATACCCAGCTGCAGGGCACGGAGTTCGGTTGAACGTCTCCAGTAATCCAATATCCGTTCTTGTCGCAGTATCCCAGAGAAAAATAACAAATCTGACCGACTAGCAGTCTTCAGAAGCTACATCTGACTGATGACACGTTCTCTGCTATAACGCTAACGCGGAAACAGCGGAGTCAGGTGTTGTTTACTACAGCTATTTCAGCAGAGCTCCATGTGAAACGTCACCAGCTGCCCAGGGCTTAGACCGGAAGCTAGTTTCTGTTTTTCCCGCGCCGGTCACAAACATCAGATTTTCTTACAATTCCAGCCGTGATAATCCAAAAACCTTTTTCATCCAAGGTTTTAATACTTCTTTACACCTGCCGTTCAAAGGAATTTTGCCTCTGATCGATATCTTTAAAGTGTTAAAAACTGTCTAGTGTTGCTTAAAAGGAACCCAGGTTACAAAACCTTGTGGTAAATGTTAGGGTCAGTTATATTAAAGTGGTGTAAAAAACCTTCTTAATGTCTTCATTTTAATAAAATTTGAAAAAATAGTTTAACTCGTAGGTCGCCGTTGTTGTTAGCGTCGCAATGCACTCTGGGTAGTGATGTCATATGGTTGCACCGGCCGGCTTTGGGACCCTGTAGTGACTGTTCAGCGACATCAACTTGTCATCTGTTCAGCCCTTTCACTTTGAACCAGAGTGAAACACTAATGATGACATCACTGACCACGTTTCACTGAACAAGCGTCGTCATGAAGAGCAGGAAGGGCGGGATGAAGCGAGAGCAGGACAAAACCGGTGGTGCGTGTGCGGCAAATGCGTCTCCATGGTAACCGAGGGGGAGAGTGTTTGTTAAGAGCTCACATTTGTGTCAGCAGAAGTTAACGGTAAGCTATCGTGTGATCAAACTTATTCAGTTATGAATGATTTAGGAGAGTTTTAGCATCCAGAGCTGTCGTGTGCTTCATAGATGATCAGGATATTCAGCGAAACCACTTTAATCATTTCTGCAGATGTTCTATATGTGGAGAACACCGTGTTGCTACACTTACTGCTTGTTTTACTGACGGGAGAGGTGAACGTTCAGCTTCATCCGTGACGAGTGGCGTGTCCGATGGTTGGCTGAACGTGACTGAAGCGGCAGCTGCAGGAGCGGGTTGTCGGCTCAGGAGAGTCCAGCGTCTCTCGTCTCTCTGAGGGCGTTTAGGCTCCTGGTGTGGGAAAATGGTCGGGAAAGCATTTAGTTTCAGCCTTCTCTTATACCCAGCCGCTCTGTTGAGCTCTTCAAGTCGTTGTGGTCGACTATAAGCCTCAAACTCATCAGGAGAACAATGTTGGGAACACAGCTGCAGATCTTTGGGAAGTTGTGTCCGTCCACAGGCATCTTCCCACTGCTGTCTCCTCTTGTTGCCATTGGGAAAGCTGTAAACTCCCATCACTCCCCTTGTTGCTCTCTGACTGGAAATTACATCCAAAAGCAGCACAATGCAGCATTTTACTTCATTATTAATACGGTGAGCGTTTAAACAAACACTAGCGTCAACAGCTATTCTTCCAAGTGCAACCAGTATACGTCATCGCCCCCAGAGCGCATTGCGTGCGGAAAACATGGCGTCCTACGTGTCAAAAAATGTACTAAATATTATAGATTTATAAATAAACAGCAATACTTTGTGTGTTTCTAACATAGTTTGGTACAACAGAAAACTTGTGGCTTATTAGGACACACACGTCCTCATAGCTGGAAGTGACCAAATGTTTTTTTATCTTTCACATCATCTGCATTTTCTTCCTGACAGAAAAAGATGAACCTCCTGTTAAATTGTTGGACGACTTGTTCCTGAAGACCAAAGCAGCTCCGTGTATCTACTGGCTTCCCCTCACAGAGGAGCAGGTTGGTCCCACACATCCGTTCGGTTTTAAGCTGTTGAAACACTCATTCATACCAAAAACTTCTTGTCACTCAGGCAACACAGAGGGTTTTAGACCGCCTAGAGCGCCAGAAGGAGCGCGAGCGAAAGCGTAAGGAGCGAGAGGAGGAGGAGGAGAAAAAACGCGAAGAGGAGAAAAAGGAGAGACTGAAGGCCCGGGAAAAGGACAGCAGCATGGCGGCGAGCAGCAGAGCGGCCGGGAGGACAGCGGACGGAGAGAGGGAGAGAGACCGCGGTCGGGAACGAGACGGGGACAAGAAGGAGGACGCCGGCCACAGATCCGGGCGACCCTCAGCAGGCGCCGGTGCCAACAGCGCTCAGCGCGCTCGTAGTCGTAGCAACCCGAGGGACCGGCGTCGCTGAAGGTTACAGGGACCAATGAGAGGGGGAGGCGGAAGATGCAGCAGACAGGAAGTGATGAGAATGTTTCTTTTGAGGGTACGCCTCCCTGCCTACCTGTTTAATTTTGTTTTTTCTCTTGTTCGTGTTGACGCCAGCGTTGTCTTCCGCACATTCTACCATTTACCCTTTTTAACATTCACACGCAAAAATAAAGACCTTTTAGCTCCACTCCTGCTTCTCTCAACATTAATGAAAAAAAGTAGCTGAGAACGGTCATTTTCAGGCGTCACACTTAAATTTGTCCCTGAGTTTTGGAAGCTGACCTCCAGTTTTTCAGTTCTGGGGCCGTTCACTTCCTGTCTCCTCTGCCCTGTAATAAACCTGGTACAAGGTAGATCTCCAACCATGATGTCACTTATTTTCTAGGATCTGTTTTATTGTTCCAGTTTTTATTAGATTTAAATATATAAAATAATCACAAGCAGCCGCCTTCTGTCAGTGAAATGATTTTCTGTTACTTTTCTCCGCTTGTCGCGTGGCAGCCGTTTATCTCATGATAAAAATGCAACGGATCTCAACACTGTAACACGGGGAGAGTTTGTGTTCATCGGTTTTGGATAACAGGAAGTCCTGTAACCAGTCTGGGACCGTACTTGCTCTAATATCCACATTTAGAAACGCTTACATTTATTTTTAAAAGATACAAAAAAATAAAAATCAAAAGTTTATGTCCAAATAGAGTAAATTGTTTTGAAAAGTTTGAATTCCCCCCTCCTGTAAGTGCTGATTGTACAAAGGGTTTAAGAAATGAATAAACTTTAATTGGTTTACCAAACTGCGTAGATTCACTCATTCGCTCACTCGTCCACTTAAAAACCCAAAGATGTTAAAGGTTTAATTGAAATGGTGACCAGTACTTGTAAGTACACAAGAAAATTTACAACAAAAAGAAATTACAGCATGTTTTTCTTCAGATTACTGCCCTCTTACAGTAAAGTCTAATTTAAGTGCAAAATGTTTGCTAGCAACAACGTATGTACAAAATAAATCCCTTGTTCTTCTACAGCAAACAGTAGCCACATTGGGTTAAAAAGCAGTAGTTTCTTTGTTCCCTTTCATCTACGGTACAGTAAAAGTACAGCAGGCAGAGTGTTTGACATGAATAGCGAACTCGGCAGTTTAAGGTGATCAGTGAGGGGGAATGGTGTGTGTGACACACACTCTGTTCATGTGACAGGAGTGGCAGAGGAGATGAGAGTCCAGAGGGAAGCACTGCGAGCCGGGCTTATCGGAGAGCTGCTTGCCACACTCCTGAGAGGAAAGAGAAAAAAAACTGATAAGGACAGGAATGCAAGGCAGGGGAAGTGAAGTAAGGTCAGCCGTTAAGCTGATTCAGAACAAAAACTAAAATCTTTAAAAAAAAGTTGGAAAGTGACTCACTTCGCAGTGGTAGCACTCAAAGTGGTAGTCCTTGTTCATAGACACGACCCTGAGGATCTCCTCGCTGCCCTGGGGAACAAATGATGTGAACTCACTCGTGTTCGGTTTTTAAATCCATTCAGAGCACTTTGGTTCATCCACAAAAGGTAAACCTATCTGTGATACGCTCGCATTGTGTCAAAGTTTTATTTACATCCTGATCGTTGGATAAGTGTCTGTAACCGATTAACTTTAGGAGTCGGCCCAATTCGTGAAGGTCGCCACAGCTAATCTCAGCACTCAACTACTATCACAGGAATTACTTTGGCTAACTAATCACCCACGATCTTGCAATAATACAAAAGATTGCACCTTTTTTTTTTTTTTTTTACAAAATCTGACCAAAACAGCTAGACCTGCACCATTTATCAACATAAAACGATCTTAGTTTAAGACAATGGTGATGATATGAATCCCTTTAGTTAATTTAAAGGTCTCGCTCACTGAGAAATAGTGTAATTTTGAAATACGATCAGCTAGGGGTGGGCGATATCAGTAAATATTTCATCTCATTTTGTACGAAGCTCTTGTCGTTTACACCACGGTTGGGCGTTTTACGTCAAGATGCACCTTTTGGCATGCCCATGCACACTAGCCATGCATAAACAAACATGGAAGAATATGATAGCGGACGCGGTTCAGACCAGGGCCATTTTCAACAGGAAGGAGGGAAACTTCTGTTGCATGGACGTGGTTTGGATGTACGACGGCTAACGTGGACCAGAAAACAGTTCGTAAAGTTTGCCGGCTCTCGGTCAACAACAAACTCCAGCACTACTAATTTATTTTACCACTTGCGCAAGAACCACGAAAAAGAACGCAGAGAGAGTCGACAGGCAAAAGCCGTAAAAGCTGCGTCGAGTGGTTGCGTAAGCGCTCATAAACTCCAGACACAGACTGCAACAGGCGTTTACCCGTGGGACACACCATATAACCACAGCTGCAGATGGAAGGACATCTCTACTGCAGTTGCCATGCACATCTGCAAAGGTATGGTTCCAGTCTACACGGTCAAGAAATGTGGGCTTTGTGAGTTGGTGCAAACACTCAATCCAAGATACGAACTATGAATTGAGTTGAAAGAAATGATGCTATATATCGTTTTCAGGATATAACACGAGCTATATTGGGATATGAGATTTGTGCCATATAGCCCGGCCCTACAATCAGCCACTCTGAGCTACATCTGTGTGCTGTAACTTTTTAACACCCATTGCTTGAGTTAGCCGCAGAAAGGGAAATATACGAGAAAATGTGCAAGTGAGAAAACGCCAGTCTCTTCTATGTCACATGGAAAATTAGCATTAATGGCCCCACCCACCGGGCTGTGCAGTGGTTAGAGCTGTTGCCTTGCAGCAAGAAGGTCCTGGGTTCGCTTCCCAGCCTGGGATCTTTCTGCATGGAGTTTGCATGTTCTCCCTGTGCATGCGTGGGTTCTCTCCGGGTACTCCGGCTTCCTCCCATAGTCCAAAAACATGACTGTTAGGTTAAATGGCCTGTCTAAAATTGTCCTAAGGTGTGTGTGTGTCTTTGTGTCTCTGTGTTGCCCTGCGATGGACTGGCTCTATGTCCAGGGTGTACCCCACCTGATTGCCCATTGACCACCGGAGATAGGCACTAAACAGAAGCCCAGAGGAGTTTCTGCTGTGTGGTGACGTTGCTAATGCTAATGATTAGCTTAGACTAGCCAAAACGTCCTCTGCTGATTCCTGGGAGTTGTGAGTCAAGTCTGGTAAGTCCATGAACTCTAACGCCGGGGACACAATGGCCGCCGAAGCGCCGCGAAACGGGGACCGCCTTCATTCAGCTCCCTTGTTATCCTATAGACCACATGGGCTGCCGAAGCGCTGCGCGCGCCAGCGCTCCAGCCCGCACCGTGCAGCAATCGTTTCGGCGTCTGCTCTATTTTTTTTTTCGTGAGCCGCGGGTGAATCGCGTCAATTCTCGCAGGAAGTCAAACCTAGACTAAGAGGCAGGCCGGTAAATTTAACAAAATAAAGCATTTCAAAATACAATTCCACGATAGTCAAATGTGTTCGTAAACAGACACTGCATAAAAACCACACACAGCGAACTTGTGTGTGTGACCACATGGAGGGGGTGTGGTTTTGGGTGTCTTTCAACCGGAGCAAACAGGACAGAGAGGCAGAAAGTCGTAGGCCAGCTATTAACAACTGGTTCACACCATAGGTTCACACACGTACGTACAAACACACACACAAACAGCAAGGGGGAGGGGGTGTCGAGGAAAAGAGCAGAGAAAAGGCAGAGAGGAAATGGAGGACACCAAGTGGTTAAAAGAAAAACTACGAGGTGCGCCTTGACCGGAGCGGAGAAACAAGCGTCTGGTCTTAACTGAGGAGCAGCGAGCAGCAGCCGAATTTCGTGAGCGCTTCGCCTCCCGGCGCTTCGGCGGCCGGTGTGTCCCCGGCGTAATTCAAAGTGTGACATAGATCTGTGAGGATCTTCTAATCCTAGCGTTTCATCGTCTATTTTCTATCAGAAGCTAACGCAGGAGATAGATGTAGGAGACTATTTTCATATTTGGCCTGCATGAAAATCTCAAGAGTGATCGTCCAATCTGGGGTGTTGCTCTGTAAAACTGAATGAGATTCAAAACAAAGCCTTGAATAGAAGAAAACATGAAGTAAAAATGTTAGAAATCACGGTGCAGACCACTCACCTCAGTAGGTAAGATGGGTTGTAAACAGGCGGCACACTTCGGTGCAAAGGTCCTGCAATTTGACAGTAAGGTTTATTTGCTGCAGAAATGCAATCCTTACAAACAGTGCTCTTCATCCCAATCAAAACCAAATAAGAACAGAGGGAGTCTCACTTGTTGTAGTCTGCCACACAGTAGATGTTGCAGTTTTGGTCCACAGTAAAAGGTACCCCATCCAGAGCCTTGGAGCACACCACGCAGCGGAAACACCCGGGATGGTACGAGTTCCCTACAGCCTGCAGGATCTGACGGCACAAATCAAGAGATTATCTAAACAAAACGAATTTATCAGGTACGTGCATCTCTGCAGGACTTTAGGCAAGGATTAAGTCTGCATTCTTGTGTCATTAGTTTATGTAAAAACCTTGAATTATCAGTGTGCACAAAATATGGTGCAGCTTTACTCGTTACAAGAGTCAGCTTCATTCAATCTAATCTGGCCTTCTCAAGATAATTTCCATCAGGACACTGAAGGCACGTTCATGCAAAAGGCAAAATCACCAGGCATGAAAGGGAATGGGTGTAATTATTAACACGACATTTGCAATACTTCCACCACCTCTGGCTCCTGGGCCTACTTCTACTTTCATTCTCTAGTCTTAAGGAAATTTCTAGACAAATTAAAGCATCTGATAGGTTTTCGTTTAGCTTTTAGCTCATTTTTTCAACATTTTTGTCACTAAAAACGCAGGAAGATAGTTATGTGATGCTTATCTTAATAAAGAAGCAGCGTTTATTTTATATAAGGAAACCTAGACTGAGGAGTGTGTTTATTATTTGAGATGTCAACAGGTTCTTAAAAGAAAAGCATCTGTAGCCAGGGGTGGACTGGCCTATCTGGCATTCTGGCACTGTCCCGGTGGGCCGCTTAGCCAAGTGGGCCACTTGCCGAGCGTGGGCCATCCCAAACCAAGCCCCCGTCTCACATGCGGTTATAGAGACACACAACACCCCGTCCCTCCCCCCACATTTGGCGGGATAGACGAGTTGCAAGCAGCAACCTCCCCTGCCGAGGGTCGACTGTTCATAAAAATGCCAGGGCCAAATTTTGGTCCCCGTCCACCCCCGTCAGTAGCTCTGAAACGTTGCTGTTAAAAAAAACTGTGGATTGCAGGCAAACAGACCTCTATTTATATTAGGAGGCTCATATATGGTAAAAAGTTTAAAGCCTTAACTCTTTATAAAAATAAATAAAAACATGCCAGGAGAAATCTACCGTGGGAAACCCAAAAAAAAGATGTCACTGCCTTTTCTCCATCCTCTGGAGGCTCCTTCCATGGAATTACGGGAAACAAATCTAAAATAAGACCATCTGAAGGCTACGGCTGAGAGGGTTTGTGGGATTTTGTTTGACGTCTGATCTCACCTGTTCCAGAATGAGGTGACCACACACGCTACACTTCTCAGCAGCTGCCTGGAATCCCGAAAACTGTAATTAAAACAAAGATTATTATGGGGATTAAACAATCCTCTGAACATGCCCGAGTGTGTGGTTGACAAAACAAATCTTGACCTCAACTCTTACCATGTAATCCTCTTTACAGTACACAGAGCCGCTGACATTGTAGAAGTCCTTGTTCCTCAGGGTGCGCCCTGTCGAGGGTCGGACATTTTGATAGTAAACGTTTACAACAAGAAGGTATTTAGGGAAGGTGTGGCAGTTGCTACAGATTAGAGGGGATGGCACTCACCGCAAGACACGCAGGTAAAGCAGCGACTGTGGTAGAGGCTGTCCAGAGCTTGGCAGGCATTATCCGCCCCATACACGCCTTTCCCACACTTAACACAGGTACCTGTTTGAGTAAGATGGAGGACACAAACACACGTTGAGTCCCTCGGTTTATTTTTTTAGCACTTTGTTTACGACGCATTCCTGAAGGATGTGTCTGAAATTCAGCCTCATATGAAGTGTCAACACCTGTAAATCCTCTCGTTCGCACCACCTAGGGGATTTTCGCACAGTTGAAGCCCAGTTGCCTTGTTTGCTCATCCAGTCAAGCGTCTGTTATTAAAGGGAAATTCCACCGGATCTGACTTCTACTTCTTTTTTTTTTCCCCTTGGCACTCTTTCCAGAAAATAGGAGCCTCTTTCTTGAGCGCTCGGAGCTTAGACATGCCTTTAAATTTTATTCAAACCCCACATTTAGAGCAATTTGGATGCTATATAATGATAGGACCACTTTTTTTTTAGGTAGGATAAAAGCCACGACTACCAAGAAACCAATGATTGATCTCTTCCGGCTCCCTTACGATTATCCAGCGATACATTTTCACCACTTCTGGCATTTTTCTGGGACAAAGAACATAAATAATCAAGCATAAAATCTGAATTTTGCCAAAAAGCTTCTTGGAAACAGTAAGGGAGTTGTGGCTGTCTAATTGTCACTCTTTCTGTGAGCTATTTAAAGGTGGCGTTGAGTTTTCCCCCCTTCTGATGTGGTCGAGGGAGTGCAACACAAATCAAAAATTCCTCCACTCCGCCGCTTCGAGCTCAGACGGTCTCTTTGATACTTCAGAGCAAACATAGGTCTGTGCCAAAACCCCCAAAACCAAAAAGGGACTATAAACACAATGTCCAACCCTGCCACATATAGCTGGAAAACGCTCCTCTGGATGAGCGACAAAAGCAGAGTTTGGCACGTTTGCTTTCGTTTTCAAACATTTACGTTTTTACTTTTCTTTTTAAATTCGAGCGGCGTTGATTTTCCGTCTCCTTGGTGTACGCCAAGATCAGTGCGTCGGCCTTCCGACCTCAGTGATTTGGTCATAATGGCTGATTGGAGTACAGTATTGCGTGTCCCCTCAGGGCACACATACCTGAGCAGAAAAACAGGCTACAGCACACGCCAAGGCAGCATTAAACACACACAAACACACACTTATTACACACTGCATTACTGTGGCCTGAAGTTACTGGGGGGGGGGACGACACACCCTACCACAAGGAAAAAATACACACACTCCTGCTCTGCTGTGACTCATGGCAATGCCAGGGCTGTCTCTATAGGGAAGTATTCCAGCTGAATCTTGCTTTCTAACCATGAAACTAGCAATGTTTGTCCCATTCCATGACTTTGATGTTTTTACTGTCTACTTTGCAGTTTTTGTGTGTCCAACACTCTGCTTGGCCTCCTTTTCATCCGAGCTCTTGTCTGGATTGGTTTCAGAAGCCTAAGCACTTCTTGTTTTAATGCTTGTTGGTGTGTCATGACCTGCATGTCTCTGCAGGTTCCACTGCACCAGCCATCCATCCTTGCACTCTTTCAAGTATTAATCTGTCCACCTATCCATACAAGCCTTTCATTTAGAGAGGAACCTGTGATCTGACACCAGGCAGCAGGGAAGACTATAATAACAAAGTGAGGGCAGATGCTGGGGGGGTGGGGGTGGGGGGGGGTGACACTCTTTGGAGCAGTGATAGAAAAACGAGGCATTTCGTCATCATTCTCTTTGCATAAAATTAAAGCTAGACAAGCGGTTCTCACCAAAGAACTCCTGGCGGCTTTCCACGTTCTCTTTCCCAGCTGAAGCTCCTTGGTCTTCTTGAGGTTTGATGGGACCCCCAGCTGAAGAAGACCCCACTGTTGTGGCTGGTTTAGAAAGGGAGGTCAGGGCTAAAGACTGGTCTTTTAGCCTCAGGCCGTCCAGTAACCCTTCACCTTCTCGAGCAGCATCTCTCAGTAGAAGTCTTGTCAGCTCCTCCTGGTATCGGGTACCAGGCAGGTCTGAGTATCGGGCCCTTTCTCCCATCACACCTGCCTCTTTTCCTCTCACTCCAGCTTCGTGATCCTCCCACCAATCCGGTCCTGCTTGGTAGCATACTGCAGCTGGGCTTCCTACGGCTGGTGGGTAGGAATGACGGCTATCGTAGGTTCCAGGACGCATCCCTCCCTCCAGGTACTGAGTCCAGGCCTCTATGGGAGTTCCTCCAGCTCTGCCTGGAACTCCATAACCAGCAACAGATCCTGCAGTTTGCATGGTTGGCTGCTGTGGAGGAAGGCCTCCAGATGCAGAGTAGCGAGAGTCGTAACCCAAGCTGATGCCACTGGTCCGGTTGCTGCTGCAGCGGCTACCTATAGGACTCCCCCCTCCTCCTCCCCCTCCACCGCTGGCTGTGCTGGACGCGAAGCTGGATCTGGGGCTGACCAGTACTGACCCCTGGAGGCTAAATGATGAGCATGGGCTCAGGGTTGGTCCTGGAGGGTAAAACAAGCCTCCCCCCATACCCCCACCTGTTACATCAGATGGGTGATGTGGTGGATGAGAGAGGGAAGCCGGTCGGGGGTTCTCCCACACCTCACTCCCTGTGCTCAGACATTTGTAAAACAAAGCCTCCTGAAGAGAGAAGCGTTTGTGCCTCTCTAGTTCAGAGAGGTATCCAGGTTCTGCCAGACCCCCTCCACCACCTCTTGGAGCAGACCCATACCCTGTGGTAGCAGGGTACAACGGAGGAACGGCATGAGGAGGTGGCTGGGAGAGAAGCTGCTGCCGTCTGACCAGCTGCTGCAGCTCCAAGGAGTACCGCCGCTGATTAAGAGATGCCTTAGAACCAAACGCTCCCATTGGGTCGCCCTCAGAGCCCAGGCCAGATTCACGCCTCAGGTGGGAATCAACACCTTCACTTAGGTAACAGGAGGCTCTCTGCTGGGGGGTGGGGCATCTCAGTTGCGCCATGGTGGAGGAATGAAGTGGCTGCTCGCCATCTGGAGGTATGGTGCCCACTGTGGAGGAAGTGGGTGGGGTGGTGAGGAGCTGAGAGGGAGCAATTCCCATCCCTCCTCCTCCTCCTGTTCTCCCACTTGCTGGAACACACGGATCATTTGTGGTTGAGGGGGCAAGCGTGAACTGGCCAGGCCTGGAGGGTGAGGCAGCCACGGGGCCAGGCCCGGGTGGCAGAGCGCTGCCCCCTCTACCATTCACCGAGACGCCACCGTTGGCGTTGCTGTTATTGGAGTTGTTGGCAGAGTCTTGTTTTTTCTTAGAACTGTTGAATTTCACACTGCCTGCGTCGGTGAGCTTCAACTTCCCCAGTAACTTGCTGATGGGTTTGTCCATGGTGAAGCCCCGTTTCTTTTTGTGCTTGTTCTCTAACCTGCCCGGGCCTACAGCGACTCCCTTTACCGTACAGATTATTGTAGTCCCAATTCAGTGCGAGATTACAGTAGAACAAAGGTGATCAAGTAATTCAACAGTTACACAGAAATATTAGCTTTCAGTCTCAAAACATCGCCAAAGAACCACTTCTGTACAAACAATAAATACACAGCAGATAAATAATAAAAGCCCTTTAAGACATTTTAAACAAAACTGTGGGTCTTCTGAGCCATCAGGTCGGCCCACATGTGGGAAATCCACAGGCACAGGTGGGCTGCGGTGAGTAAGCCTCCATGGAATCTGGTCCTAACAATTCAGGTTGGGGCAAACACGAGAAACAAATGAACCAGGGGCACTTTGATGTGACCTAAGGTCGAAGGGGGCTTCCTTTGTGGTTCCTCTGGTGGTTCCACATCTGTAGCGTCTCCTTTAAAGTCTGAAACTCTCAGTAAAGTCGGTAAAAGAGCCAGTGCGGACCGTGGGGGAGCTCCTCCGTTTTCCTTTTGAAGAACACAAAAGCAGGGAGAATTTCAGCAGGATACAGACTACCACCTCTTCATGTGGGTCCAGTGTAGACGGGAAAACAACAGCCGACCGAGCGCAGACTTCTGCCATTCATCGGAGGAGGAAACGGGCTCCGAACACAACTATTAGCGTTGGAAAAGGCAACAGAAAGCACACACGGCTCTGGTTTAACTCCGCTGTCCGTGCGTCCGACCGCTTTTATCATTCCCGTTTTCAGAAGGACAGAAACCCCGTCTGGGATTCGGCGAAAACAGTAGCGGAGAAGTTTGGAAACAGAAAAAAAGTAAAATATGGAATCCGGCGCACCGCTGCTTAAATATCCCAGAGAGGCCGGTGCCGAACTAAAGCGGATAAATAAAAATCGCTCCCCGTGTACACCACACAGACCACAACTTAGCTTCTTTCTTTCTTCCCCCTAAAATAATAACTTGCCACCCCCTCTTTTCTTTTACTTTTATGTTAGCTGCAGCGGAGGGAGATGGTGTTCCGGTTGCAGCTTTTCAAAATTAAGGTCTCCAAGCCTAATTTCTTTCTTTAAAATACATAAAAAACGTAAACAAATCTATTCAAACCCTGTTTATTTTGACATATAAAATGATGATTAATTTATTATGAAAATTTCATTGCCCGTAACATAAGGACAATATATATTTTGAATAGAAATTTCGGGCGCACATGCTTTTGTTTTCTGAAAGACAATCGAACGCTGGCCGTTACGTCGCGTGCTCGTGTTGCATTTAAATTGACGCGCATTGTTCCTTTATCAGTCCCCCAGTAAACCGGAACACCTTTCCACCAGCAACCCCGTTGGAGGAGGATGTGTCCACACGACGAAACGTACACTTAAAATAATTACATTGTTTCAGAAAAACGGGCTCTAATTTCAGCTTTTCACTGCTTAAAACTTGTAATCCATGAAAAAATGTTTAGAACTCACTCCTTTGACATTTTTACAGTTTTCAGCAGCAACAATTTTGTCCTCAAACTGTTTTCATTTATTCATTAATTATAATACTATAGCTCTTTTTTCCAGGGAGTCTGGGTCCAAATGTTGGCTACAGAGTCATCATATCAAAGTTTCAAAAGCAAAGAACAGAATTTAAACAGAATTTAGACAAATAGACTGAAACATCAACTTCTAAATTAATTTATAAAAAATTTTAATTACTAGTTTATAATTGAAAACTGTAAAATTTTGCAAGCATACAATTATAATATTTGAAAAATAAAGAGAATTTTGTTTTTGACCCAGTAAAAATAGCCTTCAGAGAACCTTCACGGAATGTTTAATTCCTACAGTTTTATTAAAGAGTAAGTCACAAAAATGCAACAAATGCTGTTGCCTGGCAGACCGAGAGGGTGGAGCCACTAACAAACACACACACACACACACACACACACACACACACACACACACACACAGGCTCACAATGGCATTGTGACATCATAATGTACCAGTTAATGTCATAGTGTACTTCTTAACCAACAGCCATAGCCTTATGACGGCATTACACTGACAGTTTTTGGCAGAATATTAAAATTTTTACTAAGCTGCACTAAAGTGCCAACATGTATTCGTGTCTACAGCACAATTAGACACTCATTTAGCCGGGCGTACACTGTGCGACTTTTTCTCTTTTTCGAGCCGATTTTCCACTCGTGCGAGAATCCACGAGATCGGGGCGAGTTTTGCGCCGAGCGTCGTGTAGTATACAGGGGGTTACGAGAGGCGATTAACACCACGTGACCAGCTACCGATCAGCAATCGTGAGCTCGCACGGACATCTCACGTGTTTAATATTTTGCTCGTCCCTTGTGAGGGTATCGCACTGTTAAAGCGGCGCTGCGAGCAGCTGCGACCTAAAATGAATCAGAACCGCTCACGGCGCATGCGCAATCCTGCATCAACACCGCTCGCCCGCTATTTCTCTAATAACACACATTGTTCGTTATAATTTCTACACGTTTTTTTTTACTCACAAATATTGTCAAGAAAGCGTGTTTGTCGTGTTCATGTCAAATTAAACTGATCACAAAACACAGATTTACTTTCTTTATTTCGTTTTCCTCATCCAACCCCCATAAATCCCTGTGTCCTCCTGCAGCACTCCCGAAGGACAACAGGCAAAACAAGACAAAAAAAGTCTGACGTGTTGAGTAAAAACTGCTATTTTTAGCATATTTTTAGGGCCGACGTGTTGCTACCATATGTACAGTGTGAGCAGTCAGATCGCATCCGAGAACTGGGTCGTGCAGTGTGAGTGCATGACTCGTGAGATCTGCCCTGCGAGGAAGTCGTACAGTTTGAGCTGAAGCTGAGTGCTACGAGTGGAAAAGTCGCACAGTGTCCGCCCGGCTTAACTCTCCCCAACAGTTGAATCTTGAGGCAAAGTTCCCTAAAGGCTATCGCTGTAACCGTTTGATAACCTTTAGGGAACAATGTCTGAAGGTTTGAGTTATGTAACCGCAAAGGGAACTTAAAGGAAACCTTTTCCTAATGGTTACAATGTGTAACCTTTAGAAAATGGTTCCTAAATATTGTCACAATGCTTCTTTAGGGCTGCAATTTTGTAAAAAATTAGGGAACCGTCAGAGAACCATTAGTGATGTTCTCTGAAAGTTCCCTCAAAAATGACAAAACTCATAGGGTTATCAAGAGTAATCTTTAGGCAATACTCCATGCAGTTTCAAAACTGTGACCTTCAGAAAATGTTCGCTAAATGTTTCCTAAAGTCAAAACTGAGCAAACCTAAAACTTCATAGAGCGTCGTTCTAATCTCTGACTTTCCTCTGAGAACATTCTCTGGCGGTTTAAAAAATGTAACATTTGTAATTTTCAGAGAAATATTTATAGAATATTGCAAAAGGTTATCCTTTGTAACCTTTTGCAATATTCAAGTGTAATGTTCTCTTAAAGTTACAGCTTTATGTCTAAGGGGACGTTCAAGGTTGCATTACAAAAGATAGATTTACTGAGACAACGTTGTTATTGTCCCATGGCAGCATACACCAACCTATTTACAGAAAGTAGACACATTGCATTAAATTACTGAAACGTAAAAAATCTAAATATAATTTTAAAAAGCAATAATAATAACTGTGTGTCCATTTGTGCTTACTGGGCAGATTTTCTTATGCACATAAGGTTTTTCAAACTTGCACCTCTATCAATATCATGCCGTATTTATTTATTGGGTGGAGAAAACATTCGCGTCGTTGCGGCAACGGCGCTACTTCCTGCCACCAGCCTGTGGAATGCGCGGAGGGACACGGCAGAGGCGTGAGGCGGCGGGTAAATTTTTGCGGAGTGTCTGACTTCTCCAAGGACGATGCAGAGTAAACATCCCGCCGCTGCTTTCAGGGCCGGCCGGGCATTTAGTCAGGAGGTGATTCCGGCCGTTTTCTGTGGCAGTAAACGGACACGCCATAACTCAACATGGGCTGATAAAGTTCAGCCGCGTCTGGCCCGGCGTGTTTGAATAGGTTTGTAGGCTCTCCCTGTGTGCTCCCCCCTCCGGAACTCTCTCTCTCACCTCCTCCACCTCCTTTAAAATAAATCTCTTTTCGTGTTCTCCTCAACCTCCACACGGAACCGCTCGTGGCTCTGCGTTCACCGTGAAGCCGGGGACACACCGGCCGCGGAAGCGCCGCGAAGCGCCGAGAAGCGAATCGCTCACGAAATTCGGCCGCTGCTCGCCGCTCCTCAGTTCAGATCAGACGCGCCCAAGTCGAGGCGCGCCTCGGCTCAGCTGTAATTTTTCTTTTAAACACTTGGTGTCCTCCATTTCCTCTCTGCCTTTTCTCAGCTCTTTTCCTACGTTTGAGTGTTTGTGCGCGTGCGCGCGCGCGTGTGTGTGAACCTATGGTATGAGTTGTTTCTGCCAGTTGAATCTCTTGGAACCCGCTCCAATTCTGCAGCTGTATCCTAGCAGTTTCTTCCGACATGGGTACGTAAACAATCATGTTTTTCGGGGGTCGTACAGCTCCTTGTGTTTCTCAACTTCCATAATTCATTTAAAGTCATCCATCCTAACTGCTTGCCTCAGACTTTCTGCCTCTCTGTCCTGTTTGCTCCGGTGAAAAGACGCCCAAAACCACTCCCCCCTTCACGTGGTCACACACGCACACAAGTTCGATGTGTGTGTATGTGTGTGCGTGTTCGTGTGGTTTTTCTGCAGTGTCTGTTTACGAACACATTTGACTATTGCGGAATTTTATTTTGAAATGCTTTATTTTGTTAACTTTACCGGCCTGTCTCTTATGTCTACGTTTGACTTCCTGCCAGAATTGACGCGATTCACCCGCGGCTCGCGAAAAAAATAGAGCCAACGCCGAAATGATCGCTGCACGGCACGGGCTGGAGCGCCGGCGCGCGCCGGCGCAAGGCGATTCGCGGCGCTTCGGCGGCCCATGTGGTCTATAGAATAGCTTAACAAGGGCGCCGAATGAAGGCGGTCCCATTTTCGCGGCGCTTCCGCGGCCAGTGTGTCCCCGGACGCTGCTGCTCGGCTCGGCAGACCCGGGCGTTCAGCCCCGGGCTGAAGGTTTTTAGGGGATTTAAACACAAACACGTGCAGTTTTCCACTTTTCTACGTCACTATTTCTAGCGCTGCTGTTATTTATGAAGTCTTTATGCTCTGCATCATTTAACACCAGAACCTTTGTAAATAAATTTAGATTTTCTGGCCCAATCTTTCACCGTGGAATCACACTTAGCCCTCATAAAAACAATCAAAATGGGAGGTGCTTCCTCATAATTATGAGACAGTCTGATTTATAAGGTACTTTCTTGTAATTATGACCAATGAGACATGCAAGTTTTAAAAAGCAAGCCACCCCCAAATCAACTTTTTTTCTGATAAACTAAATAAATGCGTGTCTAATCGTGCTGCAGACACGTGCAGACGTGCAGTCAATAGTTTTGCTCTTTAGTGGATTTCAGTTAAAATTTAAAGAACAAGTCACCCCAAACAGTGGCGGCTCCAGAAATGTTTTTCTGCAGGTGCTATGAAGGAACTAGTCTTTTTATTGAGGGTGCTATGAAGGAAGTGGTCATGCATACCTATTGTTCTCTAAAACACCTTCAACACTAGCAGATACACATGCGTGCACAAAACCTCAACAACACCTGAAACAATCACTAATATACATCATAAACATATGAACAATAACTGACTTTTACATGAAATCATAAACACATACAGCCACACAGAGAACCATCTATAGTGTTGCAAGGTTAGCTAGCGTTAGTGTTAGCATTTCCAGCGGCAAAACCCTTGACTGCTGCGGCGGTTGAGGGTTGGCTCTCTTCATCCAGATCCGTAGGTTTTTGTGGGTCTGAGATCACGTCCAAAGATTCATTTGTTTCTGACTGAACCTGTGGAAATTTGGGCAACAAAAACCGATCCATTTTACCACTAGC